GGTGGCCGCCCGCGCCATCGGTTGATGGCGCCGACATGTGCCCGAGTGGGGTTGGAAGATTAGCTGCTGAAGGGTGACCGCGGATGGACAAGAGAGGAGGGATGGGGAGAGGAGGGGGAGAGGGAAGGATATTCAGGGCTGGGGGGTCGGTCGCGTCTTGTTTCGCTGAGTCCGGTGGACATATATGTGCATACATACGGACATGCGGATATAAGGATTGCACACACATTCACACACTGCCATTCAAAGAACACCAGGCTGGGGCACAGCTTGTGAAAGCCGCATTGCCGCGAGTGCTCAACTCGCATGTCGTATTACTGATCTTCTCTTGAGCCGGCCGGGGGCTTGTCGTTTCTAAGTCCTCCTTACCTGACCCGATCCGTCCCGACCCGACCCGACCCAGATCGCAATCCGCGTGATTTGAATTAAATCGATAATGGAATCCCATTCCATCTGTGATCCACAAACACACAGCCAACATCACAAACTGGGCGCCCCTGACTCCGAAACCCAATCGAACCCTCAACGCAGATGTGCGAGGTGTTGGCTCGCTCCATGAAGGAGTACGAACGTCGGGTTCCGGAGCGGGCGGGTTTCACCGACCACCCCGCCGACTGCCTGGCGTTCAAATACCTGCGGGATGTGAGTACGAATGTATGAGCTGGGAGTGGGCTCGGCGCAGGCGAAATGGATGATGTGTAGCCTAAACCAACCAATTATCCAACCAACAACTAACCAACCAACCAAGTATCCAGGGTTAACGCATGAGTGCATATCCCTGGCTGCTCTGCGGGAATTGGGGAGATTCGTCTTGGTGGTCTGGCCGGGAGAGGCTCCAATGAATGCAGTGGATGCAGTGATTGCTGAAATGTGCCCTCACCCACAGGTGCGTTTCCCCCACCCGCTGGGTCACATCCCGTGTCCTCCCCCACACATACACTTCCACCACGCCCTCCCTCGGCCTCCCTCTCCCCCGTCCTGCCCCCCTCATCTCCTCGTCAGTGGTTCGCTTTACCTCCCCCCCCTTTTCCCCCCTCTCTCCCCCCGTCCTCCCGTCCTTCCCCCCCCCACACACACGTATTGACGTGTAACTTTGAAGGCTCTGGAATGTCGTAAGCGAGATGACGCCCTGGCCAAGGTGGACCTGGGGCTGCAGGTGGCGCTCAGTGACGGCGCCCGACAGAGACTGGTGGGAGAGGGGAAGAGGAGGGAGGGCGGGTGTAGGAGGGGAGGGAGGGAAAAGGGAGGAGGAGGAGGCAAGAAGACGAACCACGTGAACGAGTGAAGCTGATGCCATGGATATAGACTCTGACACGTCAGAATTAAACGAGAACCAACCAGTCTTTGCGGGAGGAGGGGGGAGGGCGGGAATCACAAATGTGACAAAATATATAAAAGGTATCCAGTGCCTAAGAGATAGTGCGGAGTGGTGGAGTGGTGGAGGGAGGGAGGCAGGGAGGGGACGGAGGAGTTCTCACCCACTCTCCCCAACTCCCTCGCCTTCCCCCTTTTCCCTCTCCTCCCTTAGATGGAGTTGTTGCAGGAGCAGCCCGGCGAGGGAGCTGGCTCCCCTGGGGGGGTGTCCGCCAGCCTGGTGCTGCTGCGGATGAGTCCGGACGAGCTGGGGGTGCGGCCCGTGTGTGTGGTGGGGGAGCTGGGCCAGGTGCAGGTACGCGGGAAATGAAGGGGGGGAGTCGAGGGTTTGGGGGTTAGCAGGAGGAGTTTTTACCAGAGGAAAGCCAGGGAGGGGGGGCGGAGGAGCTGAGGGGGGACAGGGAGGGGGGCCTGTGGGCCGGCGTGTCAAGCCGTGCGATGTGGCATAACTGGAATATGAAAATAGTCCCACAGACGAACAGGTGGACAGGCGGCGCGGCCCTCGTTGATACCTGTTTTCAGCTGCCCATCCCCGGCCCCACCCGTTCCTCCCCTGCTTGTTGGTTGGGGTGCATGGCGTCCAGGGCGGTCAGGGCTTAGGGGCTGTTCTCCGCAGTCCAACGTTGGCTGCAGGTGTCCACACGGCCCTGTTTCCGCTAACAACCCGCCCCTCACCCCACCCCTAGCCGTCTTTCCTCTTTACCCCCTTCCCTCCCGCACCCCCACCCTCCCTCGGTATGGGCTTCGTACTCCAAGCGCAGTTGGCGCTTTGGTCGTCGGCCCGTACTCTCCTTTTCACCTCCCTTACAGATTTCTCCCTCCCCCATTTCCCTCCCCTTTTCCCCCTTGCCCCTCCCCTCCCCTCCTCAGCCGGACGACCTCCAGGCGGTCCCCCGAACGACGCAGTCGGGTGCCTTTGGCATCTTCACCATCGACACAACCACCACCTCCTCGCCCTCCTCCTCGCCCACCTCCTCCTCCGCCTCCCCCCGGAGCAGCCGGCCCCCGCCAACCTCGTGGTCGTGGGTGGCGCTACCGCAGTGGAGGGCTCTGTCCATGGCCAGACACCCAGTGGCCCTCACTCTGGCGGATTGCTCGGCGGTGCAGGCCGTGCTGCTGGGGTCCAAGGCTAAGGTAAGGGAGGGGGGGAGATGGTGTTGGGGAGGAGG